TGCTCCTGCTGCTGCTGCTGCTGCTGCTGCTGCTGCTGTGTCCCCGCCTTGCTGGTCCGAGGATTGGCGCATATGGAGCAGCAGCCAGCAGGAGGCGAGCCACCAATATTACATGGCTGCTTAGGAGACATGTTGGGGCGAGACACATGAGGGGCATGAGAGGCATGAGAGGTATGAGGGGTCTGAGGGGTCTGAGGGGTATGAGGCGCTTGAAATGCACGGGAGGTTTGAAAGCCCTGGGAGGTTGGAGATGAATGGGAGGTTTGGAGTGCATGGGAGGTTTGGAGTGCATGGGAGGTTTGGGGTGCATGGGAGGTTTGGAGAACATGGGAGGTTTGAAGTGCATGGGAGGTTTGGAGTGCATGGGAGGAATCGAAGTCATGTGAAGCATGAGGGGCACGAGGCGCATGAGAGGCACGAGAGGCGAGGCACGGGTCAGAGAGCAGGGAATCCTCTCCCCTCGACCGCTTGCCCAGGGAGGACGATGAGGGTGAGGGGTGCTGGGTCAGACAGCCCGGGGCGGAATTGGACTGGAAGGCCGCTCTGCACTCCTTCGGCTGCTGCAGTTGTCGAGGTGGTGGGGATGGCAGTTGTGGCAGAATTTGCTGCTGCTGCTGCAGTGGGTGCTGCTGCTGCTGCTGTGCGTGTTGTGGTGCTGCCATCGCGGTGGGGAGCCGTAAAGGGCCGGGATGCTGCTGCTGCTGCTTCTTCTGCTGTTGCTGCTGCTGCTTCTTCCTCCTCCCCTGCTGCTGCGCCAAGTGCAACAAATGCTGTGGCAGCGCCTGCGCCCGTTGCAGCACCTGCTGGTCAATCCCACCTACAGTGGACAGTTCGCTCTTCACCTCATCTTGTGCTCCATCTCCAAACCCCACACCCACACCGGCTTGTGCTGCGCCATGTGCTGCAGAGGGCACAAGGCGCAGGCCGATGGGCATGTCAGTGTGGTTGTGTGTGTCGAGGTATGTCACCCGGAACAGCAGGGTCGATGCAGGGGGTTTGCCACCCGACTGATGCTGCGCTGCAAAGTCAGTGCCGGGTGGCAACTGAGGTCGCTGGGTGGCAGGGGTGCAAGGAACTAGCTGCCAGTCGACGCGCTTGCGAGCTGGACACGGTTGGAATACAAAAGGGGGAGGGGTGGTGGGGGTAGTGGGGGTGATGGAGGTGGTGGCAGTGCTGGCAGTAGCCGCAGCAGGAGAGGCGTCTGGTGCCGCAGCAGCAGCATCAATTATGGAAAGCGGGTCAGCTTCAGGAGCAGCAACAGCAGGAGCTGCAGCAACGGCATCAACAACAGCAGCAGCAGCAGCAGCATCGGGAGCCGCAGTCGAAGCAGCAGCATCAGCAGGAGGCTGGTCAGTTGAGGCTGAGGGTGATGCTGGTGCTGCTGGCGTTGCTGCTGTCGCCAGTGCTGCTGATGATGCCACTGGTGATGCTCCTGTGTCGCCCTGGAGGCTTGTGTCGCTGGAGGGCTGGGCAATGCGCGTGGAGCGCGCACAGCGGAAATACGATCTGCAGCAGGGGAGAGCAGGGCAGGGGGGGGGGCAGGGGGAAGGGAGGAATCTGCCGATCAGGAAGAAGGCAGGACTCAACAGCTGGCTTGTTTCTCCCCGTTGTTGAGCCATCTCCTCCTGCGCCCTCTCTGCTGCATCACTGCACCTGAGTGCATGGCAACTCAGCACAACCGTACCCGTGACAGTTGAATTTCACGAGCCTCTTCTCCCCGTACTTGAGCCAGCAGTGCCCGTCGTCTGGCATCACCTTCTGGGGCACTCACAGCATCACATGCATCGTCCTGTGGATTGCCCATCTACCACTAGTGGAACCCGAGGGCATGCGGGTTCAACCATACCAGCGGCAGTTGAACTTGACAAGCCTCTCCTCCCTGCACCTGAGTGCATGCCAACTCAACAAAAGCATACCTGTGGCAGTTGGATTTCACGAGCCTCTTCTCCCCATACTTGAGCCAGCAGTGCCCATCGTCCGGTATCACCTCCAGCGGCACGCGCCTCAGCTGCTCCGAGTTCACCGCCGCCAACTGCGGGAACACGCTGCTGGTAAGCGGCGGCCCCAGCCCCCCATGACCCGCACTGCCAGCCCTGGATAACGTCTGAGTAGTAGTAGACGCAAAAGTCACCTCAGGTGGCGCCTGGGGAAGGCCGCGTCTCAGCTGCTCCTTGTCCACTGCCGCCCTCTGCGGAAACAACGCCGCCTGAACCCCCGCGCTGCCGGTTTTACCTGGCACCACTGCAATGATGCTCCCCACCGCCGCAACTGCTGCCTGAGGCGGTGGATTCTCTGTGCTGGTGTTGGCAAAGGCGTTGAGAGCCGCGGGGCTGCACCCAGCAACAGTACCACTGCTAGTAGCTGTGGTGGTAGCAGGATGTATCGACGCCGTATTACTAGTATTGCTTGTAGCAGGACGCCTTGGTTCCTGATTAGTGCTTGTTGCTTGAGCATGGGTGGGGGGGGCACCAGCACCCACAGTGTGGCTTCTGCGCGTGGGTGTCATGATAACAGCGGCCGTTGGAAGACCCACAGCCACAACAGCCTCTAGGGGGGAGCGTGCCACTCAGATGCCTCGTCACAAAAATGTGGCTCTCTCCTATATGTAGGTATAGTTGTTCGTATACTGGCAAGGCTACTCCGTAGCAGACGTACCTATGCCGTACCTACTGTATACCTACTCCGTATTTCTGATCCTGGTATTTTGGGGCGGCCTGTCAGAGAGAGTACGACTCAGATGCCTGTCAGAAAGAGTGCCGCGTTCTAAGAATCCATGTGTGTCTCTCTCTACTACTTCCACGTAAATCTTCCTCCGATGTGAGGCAGAGAGCGATTCAGATGTCAGTAGATGATGATGTTAGTGGATCCATGATATGTCTCAGACTAGCGCGTTTGCTTCCAGGCCAGCCCGGCTCTGTGAATCCAAGGGTACTCAGCTCATACTGGTTGCAGCAGACTGCCTGGATCATAAATGGAGGTTACTCCGGGTGAAACGGGGAGGAACAGAGCCGCGTTTCTAGTACAGTAACGCGCATAAGAGCCGCGATTGTGTGAGGACGCTCGCCGCGTGTAACGTCTGCGGACGAAATTACCCTAGAGTGTAGAAACGCATTCCGCTGCGCCTCTGGGTAACCTCGTTTTGACCCAGTGGGTAGCGAGGTGTTATACCGCGTAGTCTGCGCCAGGGAGGGAAAGAGCGGCTCGCCGCCGCGTGTTCACTCTCCGAGGGGGGAGAGGGGAGGGGGGAAAGGGGAAGGGGGGCGGGAGGGCAAAGCCACGCCGCGTCTGGCTCAAGGCGGTCCGCCGTTGCCTCGAGTCTACTAGCAACAGAATCCGCCGGGCCTCAACTAGTAGAATAGTAGTACTGTACTCTCTCAGGGCTCGGTGATAGCCAATCAAGTGTCCCCTGAAAACCGCGAGCGGGCCCCAGACTAAGTAGCAAGCCAGAGTAGGGGCGTGGTAAAAAATGCGCATCGGATGCGCACTTTTTGAGAGGTACCGGATTCGAACGTTCTACTACGTTTTGAACACGTTTCAGTGCGGTGACGTTCTCAGGTTCGCAATTACGCACTCGCGCGCACCCGCACCCTTGTACCACGCCCTAAAAAGGCCAAAAAACACGCCAATATAAGCCAGACTTCAGCAAGCAGCAAGTCCGAGTCGTACTAGAAGTGTAGCTTCCTGAGAAAAACATGTCACTCGTGAGCCAGCCTGGCTCAATCCGAGCTGGTCGTGGCGACACTATTCTGCGCCGCGTCGTGCATTCAAGAGCAGCCAGCCAATCCTTGGTTTGAAACCAGGCCAGCCAACCAACCAGGCCAGCTGGGAAGTCCTTGTCAGATGCTCGCTTTCTGCATCTCAAAATTCACAAATGCCACCTTCGCGTACGCGCCAACCATCTCGGGAACCAGTACCGAACCACGGAGTGGCTTGGGACTGGCCACACTGTAGGTACTCCATCCGACTGCCGAGGGTGTACCTACAGCGCATGCGGGGGTGGATTATCGCGATCGTGTATACCCAGACCAACCTAACAACCTTGCGAATGCCTCGGGAGAGCCTCGCCATCCGGTGGCATCGCCGTGGTGTCAAATACAGAATAGACGAAGCGCCTACAATGTAAACAAACCGCAGAACAGTGCGCAAGCGACAAACGAACCGTTCAGCCCCGACAAAACAGACAGCAGAAAATTGGAGCCATTCGACAAACGCAGACAACGAATCCCACCCCACTGGGCAGAGTGATGATGACAACACACATGCGAAACCGGCGAAGAGCGAGCAAGTCGGGAAACGCGAACGTTGATGGTTTCAAAGAGTAACCCTGAGTGTTACAAAAGCATGAGACACAATTGCCACAACAGTTAACCGTAACCAAATATTGTGCATGTTTATCAGGTGACACACATAGGTGGTCCAAAAAGAAATGATATCTTCAGAACTATTTTCAATAAAATAAATGGCAACAGGATACCATGTAGCAATATATCCTATATTACATGATAACTATGTTTATGAGATGCTACTACTGAGGGCGCATTCTTATTCTTGCAAGCGTGCGTGTCGTGAATCGTCGAGCTTCTACTACAGCAATTGCCGTGCCTGCCTCTCAATTTCACCAAATGTCAAAAGCTGACTCCCAGATTGAAGTTGACTTCGATCCCATCCTAAGTTGACGCCGACTAATATGTTGCAAAACAAGGGTGGAGGTGTGGGTATCGGTCAGTAGACCTTTTTGTTGCGAAAATCTGCCTCGACGACTGTGCTAAGGTCGACATGTCTAATGGGCCAATTGTTTATTAAGGAAAAAATATACTTGGCTCTACAAAACTTTCCCGCTAGACTCATCTGGGTTTCAAGATTTGGTTTCTAGTCCTATTTCCCGCCTCGTTTCTTGATCCCTAGCTCGGCACTATACCTTGTGTACCTCTATCTCCCTGCCTTTCTGACTGCTGAATCTTTTCAAGGACTTGATGTCGTTTCATGTCTTCTCTTCCATAATTGCTCCTTTCCTTTCTTCATGTTCCATCGTCAGCGTCCCTTGTTTTACGTTATTCTCCCTTTCACTTGTTCGTTCTCCGTTTTATTGTTTCATCTTCCGTGTGATGTTTGCGTTTGGCCTGGATGGAACAGGTGGTGGGGTTGATTCGACCGTCGCTGTCACCATTCTCTGCACCTGTCAGGTTTCGTATGTTCATGTTTTCTGAATTCTCGTCATATCTGATGGTATCCTTACTGCTTTAGCTTAGTGATCTGATATCTCATTTTCTTTCAACGTCGCAATTGCCATTCATTTTGTCCACGTTTTCGCCATTGAAATCTCCTTCGATTCCGCATTCTGTTGCCCTTTCCCTAATAGCCTTCGGTCTCGCCTACGATTTCGCCAACGATTTCGCATTCGGTTTCGCCTTCGAGTTCGCCTTCGGGTTCGCCTTCGAGTTCGCCTTCGGTTTCGCCCTGCTCATGCCCTGCGGATGTGCTGAGGAATGGTATGCGCCCTGCTCATGCCCACCGCCCTTCCTCCATGTTGTTACTTTCTGTGGGGAACTCCCTCCTGGCCCATTTCCTTGCTGGGGTACGCTGCCTTTTGGTCCCAAGTTCTTTCTATCCTGAATGTCTTGTTCTCCCTGTTTCTATTTTTACAGAATAGTGTTGACCAAGGGTGTTCATTTTGACACCCCTCTGTTGCTTGCAATGCCCACCCGTGGCAGCATGACTGACGGTTCTGGGCAGCAGCGACTTTTTATTCTTATTGGGACCGATTTTGTCTTTGGAATGGTGCTGGTGTTTTCTGCTTGATATGCTCGACGATTGCATGGTGCTTTTTGCACCGGTAATGTTGAATTGTAATTGTATCTGCGGATCATAAATGCATAATGTATTTTATTGACGATAAGTGTACTACGGTAATATTGAACACAAATGGGCTGCAATGTATCGCGGATTTGCGCTAGATGTTCTCCCCAGTTTATGGGGATTCAATCTCGAGATCCTACGTGGCAGCTGTCTTCACGCTTCGTGATCGAGGGCTGGGTACAGTCTCGCTGCGGAGGGAGTGGGGAGGTTGTGCCTATAGTGTGGCGACAACGTGGCAGTAGGTTGTGGGGAGGGTGTAGCCGCAGTGTCTGTAACAGATTTCCAGCAGCGATGTGGACCCGCTGAATGAACAAATATTGGTAGTCTGTAAATGGATACACCCTCCTCGCATTGTTGTGATGGTCTCTGGAGTGTGTAGGGAGAACCTGGAACGGCAGCAGCTTTTTGGGATGTGAGACTCTGCACTGTGCGCGCCGAAATACACCTCCAGATTCTAGACTCTGCACGACAAGCCCGAGATAGTACACCTCCAAAACTCGGACTTCGGCGTTCGGGGCGGAGAGGAGCAGAGCGGAATGGTGGGGTTAGCCTCCGGATAACCCGTTAAAACGGAATGCTCCTAGAAAACCCCGTAAAGAGAAGGAATCAGTTGTTACAAATTTGGCTAGCAAGGAATCAAAAGGCTTAGGGGTTGGGAAGGGGGGAGGGCTGGGGGAGGATGGGCAATGGGGGGTGAGCGGGGATGGGATCTCGACCCCCTACATCGTGCCTCACAACACATGTACATGTGGCCCGCAACGATTCAACAAAAGCTAGGAATCGCGAGAAATCGTTTCCGTAAGTTGGACTTTTCACAAAACATTTGCACCGTAGAAAAACGGAAACGTTGGAAACGTTTCTCTTAATCTCTCAAAATTAAGGATAATTACTATATTAGCGAGTGGCTTTGTTGAGGAGTCCTCGGAGGAGCAAGTGGGGACTCCTGGGTGAGTCTGGGGGGCAATGGCGAGGAAGAAGGATCACAATGGCGAGCTTGGGGATGGGGGGGGGGGGAGGAAGGGAAGGGGGAGCGGAGGTAAGGTGGGGTGAGGAGAAGGGGGAGGAAGGGGAAGCTACATGACTGTGCGACTGTGGTGCCTCTTTCCACCGCTCATGCCTACCAAGCCAAAGCACAGCTTCGGCAGGGATGCGCGTGGCTCGGGATGGGCATCATCTCCTTGATGCGCACACCCACAGATCAAGCAGATGATGCCCATGTGCATAGATGACAGCTGGATGCGCGCGTGTGAAATCCCACCGAACGTAAATGCAGTAGGGCTCTCGCCAGGTTATTCCGTTAGGTCACGGAATCGACCCCAATTTACCCGTTAGCGGACAGGTCGTGGAAGTGCTACTCTTGGTTTGATACTCACATCCTTCAAGACAGATGGCCCTCGCCTCGGCTAAAAAAAAACCCTTCCAACCCCCAGGGACTAACTAATCTCTCTCTTTGCTTAGTGGAGGATATCGGGGAAAGTAGAGGGGGCGGTTGGAAGGGGTGTTACACCACTACGAACAGTGACGCGAGACCCCCAGAAAAATACGTTCAAAATGGTCGTGGGCAAAACTCAAGAATACTGAGATGAACAGTGAATAGAGGTTTGTCGTATTCAACGGCAGTCGCAAACTGCCCCCGTTCCCTGAGAGTTGCGACGTTTCCTTGGTATGTACCACGTTACCCTTTCCTAACGAAAACAAGTTCATGATTCCTGAACTTGATAGCAAACCATTCTTGACTCGGGCTTTAAGAATAACTACCCTAGACAAATCCCTGGAATGAAGCCATGATTTATGAGTGTCAGACAAATTAGTGCTACCAATAGATAGGCTGGCTTGCAGGCAATTTTGGAAGGTTCCAAGTCGCATACAAAACGTTATGCAACAGCCCTTTTTTGGTCCGGAACATGGGTCAGCTCGCAAAAATGTGCCAAACCAACCTTGACCTATCCTAACCTAGAAGAGTAGCGTTGTCTGCAAAACGCACTCACCTCAACATAGAGATTGAGTTCACGAAGGTCGAAGGGCAGATTCGCCCCTTGGCAACTGTGGACTCTGCCACACCTCCAAGTGGACTACGCCAAATCGCAGGAGGACACGGTGGAATCGAGGTACAGTACTAGGGTGAACAATAACCCCACTCCGCAAAATACCTACACCTGGACAACACCTCCCACAAAACCAAGATGTGCATGTCCAGAAAGAAAACAAACCTCTCACATCTTCAGTACATCAAGACACCACGCACTCCTCTCACAACCACCAGAGCACCAACTGCCTCCAAACTAAAGTCGTCACAGGCCTCTCTCACCTTTCTGTTTTTGAATGACCCTGGGCAGTTGTTCATCCAGCGTTTTGTTTCTATTGTTGCCCTTGTCGAAACCACTTGCATGCTTTCCCCACTTTGTCTGCACAGCTTCACGGTGTGGTTTATGAAGGCCCCAAGTGGTCTTGATGGTTACCACTATTTGCGAAATGGCATGGGCTACTTCCTGAACTCCACCTCTACCTCCTACTCTACTGCCTACAGAACCCAGCCATTATGTCTGCGACCAAAGGAAGGCGAGGGGAGAAAGCGACTAAAGGTCCAAGTTTGTACACCCTTAAACTCGTTAAAATCACTCATTTCGGCATGATGATTGGCATTTGTTTTTAGCGAAATGTGATATTACGTGACTCTGAAGGGGGTCGCCCGCTGTCGGTATTTCCAGAACCCAAAACGGCTTTCGGGAGTACTCGCTAGCCGAGCGTTCATATGCTTTTGAGAGGGTGAAAGCAGCATTAAATAGATGCGCCCACCACATTAAACCCAGGAAAACTGATTTGTTGGTATTGGCATGTGTTTCCATCATTTCGCTCAATACTGAAAATCGTCAGTTTGGAAATTTTGGGGCATTACGAAATCGATGACAACTACCTCTTTATCCATTGATGTATCATATAGAAGTCGCATTTGGTACAAAACTCACAAATGGCTTCGGAGGAATGTGATCAGATTCCGAACTGGGCACTAACGGTTAGGGCGGTTGTGATGTTTCGTGATTTGACGTTAACTAGGTTTCGGGTGTACGGATATCAGCAGCTGAAGTTAGGAGTCAAAGAAACCTAGGAGGAGGCAGGTTTGAAGAATGTCGTTTGCGGGTCAAAGCCACAAAGCGTGTGAGTCGTGACACTCGGTTAGCGACAGCAGGTTGCTTGCACACGGCACGGAGCAGATTGGCTGGCGATGGCGATGAGTGCATGATCGATCGAAACGTTTGGTTAGATTTGGCGGTGGTGATGATGGCAAGATTTCCCACTCAATAAGCATGCCTCACGTGTGGCCAGCAGGGCTCTCGGTTCAAGGGTAAACATCCGGAATGTCAGGTACATTCCGGGTCTTTCCCGCTGAAATCCTGATTTTAAGGGTTTCGGATTCACAAACCTCCTGACAGATTCCGGGCGTTTCCCAGTAACTTTCTGAGCAATCCGGACTGTGCGAAAAATTATCCTGACTTTCCGACTGGCATGGAAACTTACCCGTGCTGGAATTGCAGCCGTATCCTCCACCCCCCCCCCCCCCCCCAACCCCCAACTTCTTCGCAACCCTGACTAATTTTCCACGCAATCTGAAGGTGCGACCCGTAGAACTTTCACAACTACAGAAGTGCAGGGCTGTCAGACTGATCACAACCCCTTAATATCACCTTAGCCAGGTTGCGCACCGTTCCTCTAAGCTATACGCATTTCTGTCGCGATTAAGGAAAGTGTCAAACTTGGTGTGGTGGTGAGGAACAACAGCAGCAGCAAGTGTGTGTTCTGTATACTTCTCCGTTTCTTCCATCGATGTCCTTCCTGCTTGTACTCAAAGTGCCGACAGGTTCCGCTGTTATGTAGGGAATCCCAAAAAACACTCTGAATTTCAGATTGAAAGGTCGAAGTAATCCTGAAATTAAGAGATATTTTTCAGGAGACGCTGAATTTTCAGGGTCTTTCGTGACGCGAATCCTGAGACCGCTGGGTCTTGAAAAACAAAAAAAATAGCCCTGGTGGCCAGTTGGCACCCAAGATTCGTGGTGGAGGGATTGAGCAAGGTTCTGCTGCTGACACATCGCGTGTATACACTTTACTTGTGGAACAAATTGAATGTTTAGAAACCGGTTCTACAGAGTCACCGGACATCTCTAACACCAGGCAAGTGGGGCATTAAAATTTTTGGCTGCGTTCTGCAAGCAAAAAAGGAAAGTGCATATTACATCAGAGCACCTTGCGAAAACGTGAGATTTTTCTTCGGATCGAGGGTCAGCCCGCAAAATTTCCTCCAAACATGGCACAACGTACCCGAACCTAGTCACATCGACATGCCTGCAGAACAGGTCCATCTATAGATGACATCTACATTAGGGAAACACCCCCCTTGCTTCCCTCCCTGGCAAATCTGAAGCAAACTTGACGCAACGCTGACGTTTGCTCAATCGCGGAGACGACCTTGCGTTCAACTTTGCATCAGCCTCAAGGGTGTACTAGGTCTTCACACCCAAACAAAACGCACTAGCCTGACCCCACCCTGCCATATTTGCCTTGCCCTAGCAAAAAAAAAATCACCCGGTCCAACTCACGGTTATGTTATGATAAAATCGTACTTCAGCATTTCTGTAAGTAGTTCCGATAGATATTATCGAGCTACACTGTAGTTAGCATCCGTAGAATGACGTCAGCAAATAGCGCTCATCTGGATGGTTACGTCAGCAAGCTGTTTCAGTCACTCGAACAGTCGCGCTCTTTTCAGTAGAGATTAGAGAGCGAATAGTTTTGAACAGGTACGTTATCGAACAGGTACTTCTAGTGGGTATAAGCTTGTGTGACTTCAATTATTAACTTGTTCTTAAGTAAATTCTTGTCAACACTTACTAGTTCAAAGACTTCCGCTGTCTTACTAGTATACCATTCCATCAAAAACCCTTGTTCAAGTCTTGAAGTATCACAAAGCTGCAATACTGATTCTGGTGTTATAAACTGTTAATACTGGCTGTTACTGGAGGTGCTTCTTGT